TGCACCAGCCTGAAGCCAGGAGCCTGGAGCTCAGTCTGGGTCTCTGGCATGGGCGGCAGGGACCCAAGTACTTGAGCTGCCACCGCTGCCTCCCAGGAGGAGCATCAGCAGGAAGCTGGATTGGAAGCAGACCCAGGACTTAATTCCAGACCCTCCAGGAGGGGGAGGGAGTATCCAAATGGTAGCGACACCTGCCCCTGCAGAGGCCGCTTTGTCGCGTAAGGTGCCACCCTCCCAGGGCCTGGGGATTGGCGCGTGGATGTCATCAGGGCTGGGGGCGAGATCCTGCCGGCCAGGTCCAGGGAGAACTAACTCCAGGGCCTGCAGGGAAGTAGCCTGTGAGGGCGTCATTCCACATGTCCCCGAAGAAAACGGCACCTTCCTGACTCGTTGCATGCTTCCCCAAGCCACCTGGTTTCCGGAACTTGGCAGGGACGGTTTTCTCCCAGTTTCCTCTTTGCAAATTTGCTCAGCTGGTTTGTTCAGAATCCCCACCCCAGGAGACCCAATGGCATTTGGGGTGCAGTAGGATGATTACGCCTTCACATGTGAAAACCACATCCCACATCAGGGCACTGGTTCAAGTCCCAGCTGCTCTACTTCCAGTCCTGCTTCCTGTTAACGCACCTGGGAAGGCAGCAGAAGATGGTCCTGGTGCGTGGGCCTATCACCCACGTAGGAGACCCAGACAAAACTCCGGTCTCCTGGCCTTAACCCGGCCAGCCTTGGCTGTTACAGCCAATCAGAGTGAACCAGCAGATGGAAGATGGCCATGTCTCTTCCTCTCTCTATAGTCCTGCCTTTCAAATAAATAAACGAATCCTTAGGAAAAAAAGAAAACCCAAGGCGGAGAAAGGCCTCAGAATTCTCTCAGATCCCTGGCATGGAACCCCTCCCCTGGGGGACACAGCTGAGTGTGCTGTCTCTTGTCCCAGGTGAGGCACTGCCTTTCAGTAATTCCTATCTCCCAGACCCCCAACTGCCCCGCACAGGTGCCTTTGTGCCATGCAGTGTGGACAGTATGGGGCGTGCAGACCCCACCACACCCTGGCTGCCCCAATGCCACACATAGTGTGGATGGTATGGGACATGCAGACCCCACCCCCACCTGGCTACCCCACACAGGTGCCCTCATGCCATGCATGGTGTGGACTGTCTGGACACGCACACACCCTAAGTAAAAGACTCAGACCCCAGTGTTTGGGCTCTGGTGGGTTCTTCTTCCTCTCCTTTTGGCTGCCCCCCCGCCCGTCTGATGCAGTTACTGCACAGTGCGGCACAGGTGGGGGTCAGCACGTCCCCAGCATATGCAGGCCGTCTGCTTATCATTTCTCCCCATCTGCAGCCTTCGAGCTCCTCTCTGTTCTTCATAAAATACGGACTGGTTTCCCGTGGGCTCTGCCACCTCCTGCGCTGCAGGACAGCCGGGCTGAGCCCTCTCCTGTGCCTGGGCACCTGCTGTCCTGCCTCCTGCTCCCCTCCCGGCCTCCGCTGATCACTGTTTTAAGTCAGATCGATGACCAAGAGCAGGCAGTGGGGCTTGGCTTGTTCCACTTAACATGATGTTCTCCAGCTCCGCCCACTTTGGTGTGGGTGGCGACACTTCCTCATCTTACTGCTGGGTGAGGTCCCCTGGGTGTCTGGTCGCATGTTCCAGCCTTGCCCTACGCTGTCCTCTCCTCGCCCGTGGTCTTGCACTGCACCACCCTCTACCCGGTTCCCGGTGTCCTCATCTCCTGATCCCAGCGGTCCCCAGGGGTCGTCCTGCTTCTCTGTCACCACTGGGGCTGCAGCTCACAGGGAGGCCACGGCTCACAGCCTCTCGCTGGCTGCCTTCTTTAGGGTCCTCCTGACCTTGAGCTCCCCCAAAAGACTCCTTGTTCCTGTTTCAGGGACAGCCTGGGTTCCATTTTTCTTTCTTTTTTTTTTTTTTAAAGATTTATTTATTTACCTGGAAATCAGAATTACACACAGAGAAAGGTCTTCCATCCGCTGGTTCACTCCCCAACTGGCCTCGACGGCTGAAGCTGCGCTGATTCAGACAGGAGCCAGGAACCTCCTCTGGATCTCCCACACGGTGTAGGGACCCAAGCACTTAAGCCATCCTCCACAGCCTTCCCAGGCCATAGCAGAGAGCTGGCTCATAAATTGAGCAGCCAGGACACGAACCAGTGTCCACGGGATGCTGGCATTGCAGGCAGTGGCTTTACCCGCTACGCCAGAGCACTACCCCACCCCTTTTAACAAGCATTATTTTTGAGAGCAGTTTTAGCTTTGCAGCAAAGTTGGCCCCAAGTACAGAGCCCCACAGGCTCTCCTGCTGGGCCTCTCCCAGCAGGGGCATGCAGTGGTTCTCCTTGGTGACCCCCCAGTGTCACCATTCAGCCCCTCTTGGACCCATGTAACCCAAGTTCAGTGACAGGCGTCCCCTATGACAGGGCCATCCAGAGTTGTCACTGCCCTCAGGTCCCTGGGGCCTGCCTGTGGTTCTGCTCATCTGCAGAGTGGCCAGGCTTCCATCTTTCCCCTGGATCTGGATCCTCCTCGGGGCCCCAGGGAACATGCAGATGCCCGGTCCAGGCACCCAGGGGACAGGGGTCTTCGAATGGACATTGTACCCTAGCTCCCAAGTACCTCAGCTACGGCCCATCCTCCACCCTGTGGGGCATGCCTGAGTACACAGTGGCTGCAGGAACCTGCACACTCACAGCCACATTGCCATGGCCTGGGCTCCAGGGTGCAGGCGCCTGTTGGAGCAGCCTGGGTGGGTGCCACACCTGGCCCAAGTCCCCAGGAGGCACAGCAGGGACTCTGTCCCTCACCTCCAGGCATAAGTGCTGCCAGGCACTCTGACTGGCCTGTCCACCACACAGTGAGAGCCCTGGGGGCCCAGGCGCAGAGAGGGTTCCAGCTTCTCAGGCTGTGTAAACAGCCAGAGGCCAGCTCCATGTCCTGGTGTCCACAGCCACCCCACCAGGCTGTGAGGCCCTCGGCCAGCGGTTGGCAGAGGCACCAGGTCCTCCTGCCCCGGGGCTGTGCTAGCAGAGCTCCCTCCAGGAGGGCATGGAGCCGTGAGGAGGGAACCAGATGCCACAGGAGCCTGTGGCCGCAGGTGGCAGGGACAGCCCCCTCCCGGGGCGGGGAGGCACTGGGCAGCTACCCTGGGTCTCCCGCTGCCCCAGCAGAGTTCCTCTCATCTCTGATGTCCCAGGGCCCTGTGGACGGTGCAGAGGCTGAGACGGAGGCTGCGGAGCCCCACGGCCTTCACCAGGTATGTCTTGGTGTCCACCCCACGGGGCAGCGCTCAGAGCCCACCCCCATGCAGACCCTTGCAGTCTCAGGGCACGAGGCAGTGCTTTTCACAGATGGGGAAACCGAGGCACGCTCTGGGACGCCAGGCCTGAGCCTGCCCGGCCACACTCCCGCCGGTTTCCCAAGGACAAGGCCATTCTCCTGCTTCCTCCTGTGGGGCTGGGTCGTGGGGCGTGGGGGAGTACTGAGGTGTGGATGGGAGACTTTCATTCCTGGTTCACACTGTGGGCTCCCCCTGGGGGGCGTGACAGAGACTGGATCCCCCTCGAACCCTGCCAGCCCTCCCCTGCCCGAGTCTCATCCACGCCCTCTGCCCCTGCAGCCGGCTGCCCCGCAGCAAGCGGCGGGCCATGGAGGCACAGATGCGGTCCGAGGCGCTCACAGCCCTCAGCAACCTGGCGGACCTGGCCAACGCCGTGCACTGGCTGCCACCGGGCGTCCTGTGGGCCGGCCGCTTCCCCCCGTGGCTGGTGGGCCTCATGGGCACCATCTCCTCCCTGCTCAGCGTCTACCAGGCGGCCCGGGCTGGTGGCCAGGCAGATGCTGCCAGCCCCTGACGCGGATGAGGAGCGTGTGGACGATCTGGGACTGGTGGAGGAGCCCTTCCCCCGACGCAGGCAACGCCAGGCCGGGGACTGTGTCTCTGGATAAGCAGCCTGAGGAGCAAGCCCGTGGCTGGGGCGGGAAGAGGGGCTGGCAAGGGGCTCCCCAGGTCCCAGAGGGGGAGCCCTCTCTCAAGACCCCAGGGATGGGCCCCTGGACTCCTGGGCCCTGGCAGTGCTGGTCAAGGCCACCCTGGGCTGCTGGCTGCCCTCTCACATCCAGTAATGGGAAGGAGAGCAGACGCCGAAATGGAAAGCAATTAAATATCTCGGTGCTGGTGCTGGGCCCTGGTGTGAGAGATTATTATACTGGTGGCTGCAGGCCACTTGCCAGCATCCCACTGGCCCACTACATGGGGACCCAGCCTCTGTAAGAAACCCTACTTGCCCAGTCTGCCTTCTGGAACACTTTTCCTGGTGGGTCCTGTCTCCCAACAAGTGCTGCCCATTGATCCTGAGCAGCCTTCAGCCACCGGGGCGTTCCCCACTCCCACACTCCATCATCCCACCAGGCCATGCCCTGGCCACGCCTCCTCCTGGGCACGGAGGGAATCTTACGCATGCCTGGCGCCACCTGTGTCTCAGACCCGGGCGCTGAGTTGTGGCTGTGCCATTCATGCTGCAGGAGCCTCACATGGGCCCACACGTATTCTGTTTACAGACACGCGGGAGCTGTGAGTACTTGTGGTGCAGGAGACCCTGCCCAGGAAGGACGTCTGGGCAGCTGGGGCTCCCTAAGTCTCTGCCTTCCCTTCATTAGAGAGGGCCGTGCACACCTGCCCCAGCTGCCCCTGGGAAGATAAGGGGCACCCAACTACCCACCTGGAGACTCAGCCAGCCAACCACTGTAAGGCAGGGGGAGAAGCCACGGAACACCTGGTCAGACTATCTCAGGGTGGGGCGGTGCTGTGGCATAGTGGGTAAAGCCCCAGCCTGCAGTGCCAGCATCTCATATGGGCGCCGGGGTCAGCAGCCCCGGGGCTCCTCTAACATGTTGGGCCACACCCAGGAGCACGGGTGTCAGAGAGGTGGGGCATGGGAGCCTCGGGAGCCTCTGCAGACACAACCCGAGAGAGCGCGCGGCAGTCGGAGCCCAATGAGACACCTTTATTGCTAGAATCGGGTCTGAAGCTCTAAGGTGGTTCCCAGACAGCCCACGGGGAGGAGACGGAAGGATCAGGCTGACTACGGTCAGGGCCACAGCTCACGGGGACGCGCACACTGGCTCGGCTGTTGATGTCACCGACACGGGGCACCCCCAGGAGTGACTGAGGGGTGCTGGCGACAGAAGAGGGGTGCGCGGTGCTGCTGGACCACGCATGGCGGAGCCGAGCCTGGGGGAGGGGGCGGGAACTCCTAAGTCAGCTTTTCTAAAGTGCTCCAATACTTCTCAGTACAAAAATACAAAACACTGTTACAAACATGGCACGGACAGGGTCTGCGGGCCGGTGGGCATGCCCAGGGCACCGGATGGAGCGTGCTGGCAATGGGAAAGGACCCGGGATGGGGACGCCACTTGCTGGCCTCAGGACATTGAGAACTGCTGCGCTCAGCACCTGTCACCGTGCTGCCACCAAGGCCAGCACCCGCACCTGGCCATCCCTCCGGGGCCTGCAGCACCCATCAGGTGTCACGGCCACTGGGTCAGATGTTCAGGTGAGCACTTTGCCCCTGTGCTCACCTGGCCCCAGCTGGTGGGAACATCCCTGTAGGGCATCACAGGAGGCAGGAGATGCTGGGAGAAGGCCTGCGGTCCCCAGCTGCTGGGTTCAGCAGCCTGGCCCTGCCAGGGGCCACAGTATGGCCAGTCCAGGACCCTCTTGCCGATGCCTGTTGCCCCCTGCTCTGCCCTGGGCAGAGCTGGCTCTGGATCCGACCAGTCCGGGACCACTACCCAGCTCCTTCAGGGGAGTCAGGCCATCGTCTCAAGGTGCTTCCTCCCCACCACCCTGCCACTAGGGGCTTTCTCCCAGCAGCCCCGGGAAGACCTGCTCAGTCCATGGGGGTGCAGGACCCTCTTCCCCAGGGTGGTGGCTCTGGGTGAAGCATGAGGTCTGCCCACCACAGCTCCAGACGTGCCCCCGGTTCTTGTCCCCGGGCAGGAGGTGTCCCATCCGTGTCGAGGTTCTCCGTGAACCTGTGTGGGTGTCTGGCCAATGCCACCAGCCCCATGTGGTGCCCTGGTGATTGGCTCCAGCGGCTCCTGGTGGCCGTGAAGCCATGCTGCGGCCAGCAGCTCTCTAGGCTGAGGTCTGGCCTGCCCTCGGGTGCCTTGTGGAACATGCACTGTCCCTCGCTGCGTGGACACATAGCCTGGCTCCACCTCTCCCCCACCTGAAGGGGGGTGCTGTGGCCGAAAGCAGCTTCTTGGCTTAGCTCAGGTCCAACTTTCGATTAAAAACTTTCCTTTTTATAAAAAAAGAAACCTAGGTGGAGAAAGTTGCCAGGACATGCGATCGGAGCACCAACAGCCCACTCAGCCAGGCGGTCGTCCAGGGCGAACTTGGGAGGGGAGGGGCAGCTGGGTGGGCAGGCCACCCCTCGGAGGTCCCCCGAGGGCACAGGGGAATGGCAGGGCAGGGAGAGGGGCGTACGCCTCACGCCACACTCTTCAGAAGAAAATGACGTCTTCCTTGCTGGCTTCCTCCTTGGCGCTGAGTGGCGTGGCCGGCAGTGGCGAGGGGACTGGGAAGGATGGGCCCCCTGCCTTTGGCGAGAAGCCCTCGGGGGTCACGTCGGCCAGGGTCGGGCTCGGGGCCGGGAAGCTGGAGTCTGGAGGGGACAGGGGCCAGGGACGTCAGCAGCCACTGGGTGCTGCAGGTGGTCACGCCAGCCCTGGGTGGGGTAGAGGCTGGGCTCACCTGTGGGGGACGCGGAGCCCTGGCTGCTGAGCAGGATGGGGCTGAGTGAGCGGCGGCTCCGTGCGGTGTTCTCCTCCTTGCCCATGAACTTGTTGAGAAGCAGCTGCTGCTTCAGGTCGAAGGAGGCTGCAAGAAGAAGGGTGGGTGGGCCTTGTTCCAGGGAGCTGGGGCGGAGCGGCTGCCGGCCTTCTCTACCCCACACTCCCTGCAGGGACCCAGGAAGGGCCCCTGGGGTCACTCAACATCTGAAACCGGGGTGTGGCAGCTCAGGATACATCCCCTCCCCATGACCCTTGTGTCCCCGCGGCCACAGGCACCTCGGGCTGTCACCCAGTACCCCTGCTGGGCATCTGAGCTCGCTGCACAGGGGTCTGAGGGCAGCGGCCGTGGCTGCTCTGGCCTCAGTGTCCCCCTGTGGAATGGGGACACGGGAAGAGTCCCCAGCTGCATGGTCCCAAGTGACCAGGGTGCTCTGATTTCTGGCTGAGACCCTTCTGGGGCTCCGCCAGCCCCCCACCCCCCAGCCATTTGAGAACTAAGCACAGAGGGGCTCTGTATTTCCAGCTTCGCTCCTCAGGCCCTCCGCTGCAGCCCTGCCTTCCTGCCATCCCTGGGCACCGCCCACAGCCAGACCTCCCAGTCCAGGGGCACCTGGGAGAGCAGCCACCGCCCCAGGGCCAGCGGCAGCTGCAGGGCTGGGCTCACCTGCGCTCTCCCAGCGCTGGGAGCCCCTGCTCTTGCTCTTGTCCTTGCTGCCCTTGGTGGAGGCGGCCAGCTTGGTGGGGATCTGCTGCTGCACGGCCGTCTGCCTCTGGATCTGGTTGGTGGCGCTGAGCAGCTGGATGGGCACGTCGCTCTTGGCCGGCCGGCTCTCGGCTGGGGCGCTGTCCCTGCGAGCCACCTCAGGCCGCTCCACATACTCAGGCCCGGCGCCTGGCACCAGCATGCTGACCCGGGGCCCCGTGGCTTTGGCCAGGGCCCCCGGCGCCTCCAGCCCTTCCCCGTTGAAGCTGGGAGGCTGGGCCTATAGAGTGACAGAGCACACGTCCCATAACTGTCATTCCTGCTGGGGGCCCGCCAGCTGGTCTCTGACCAGCATAGGGAGACCTCAGGCTGGTCTGAGACGGCCAGACCTTGTCCACCTGCACCCCAGCTCCTGGCAGGCAGGACCAGGCCGCAAACACACGCGCCCCGTGTGCACCCCGCTGTTTAAGACACGTCCCTGGCGTTCACTGAGGGCTCTGAGCAATGGCATGCTTTGGCCCAACTACTGGCGCCATCACTGATGCCTCCTTGGGAGGGGGGCATCCGCAGGCGTCTGGAATCAGGAGCAGTAGCTGTGACGTGAACCCTGGCACGCAGGCGTGGGCTGTTTCCACTGCTAGGCCTTGCACGTGCGCTCCCGCGTGCACTCCCACTTACCAGTCACGGCACACATGCACTCCCACAAACGCGCGCGTGGCCCCTGGGCGGGCACCTCCACCCCTGGGCTCCCGCTCACCTCCGCCAGCGCCTCGGGCGGCAGCGCCCCGGGAACCGTGTTCTGCTTCTTGAGTCTGCGCAGCAGCTCCAGGCGCTCGCGCTCCCGCTCCACCGCGCGCTGGGCCTCGCGCAGGCGCTCCAGGTCGTGCTGGTAGGCCTGGCGCTGCAGCTCCAGCTCGGCGCGCTCCTGGTCCAGCCGCTCGCGCAGCTGCCGCGCCTCGTCCTCGCGCTCCTGCAGCCGCGCGCCCGCCCGCTCCAGTTCCTGCCGCTGGCGCTCGCGCTCGCGCTCCCAGCGCTGCTGCTCCTGCCGCAGCTGATTCTGCAGCTTCTCCACGCCCGCCCGCTCCTCCCGCTGCTTCTCGAAGTTGCGTTGCCGCTCCTGCTCCAGCAGCATGTTCCCGCGCGTCGACTGCAGCCGGAACTGCTGCTCGCGCTCCTGGATGGCTACCCGCTGCATCTCTACGTAGCTGTCCTGCTGCGCGATGACCGCCTGGGGAGAGGGCGGGCCGGTGAGAACCATGCCCACACCCTGGCCCGGCTCGCCGGGGAAGGACAGGTGTGGCTGCTCCCTCCCGGACGCCCATTGGGTACCTGGAGGCTGAGGAGCAGCTGGGACAGCGTCTGGACGCGCTCGACAAGCTGTGGGGAGGGCAGAGATGGATGCTGGGTTCCCTGAAGGCGCATGGGGAGTGCATGCCAGGCCCCGCCCCCTAAGGATGCCAAGCCCCGCATACCTCTGCCTCCAGGGTGATGGGCAGTCTGGGGCCAGCCTCTGTGCCCGGCGCCTCCACCTGAGAACACGTCCGAGTCAGACCCCAAAGCGCGTCAGAGGACCGATCCTGGGAGGCCCCAGGCACTTTCAGTAAGACAGAAGGGACAGGCCCTGCGGGTCATCTGACGGGTCAGTCTGAGAATCTGCCAGATGGATGCGGGGTGGCCGGCCAGCCGTCCTGGGCCTGGCTCAGAAGTGAGGCTTGGGTGTCTGCACTGGGCACAGAGGCCAAGCCCAAGCAGCAGAGCCAGCCAGAGGCAGCTTCTGAGATGGAGGGAGAGGGAGCAGCCGTGGGCCTCGGGCACTGGGTGGGCGCTCCCCACATCGAGCATAGCCTGTGCAGTCCCTGTATGGGGTATCCACCTGCGGGTGACGTCATGGCCAGCGCTCTGAGCTCGGCTTTCCCCGCCTCCCTCCTGGGGCTGGGGGGAGGCCAGCGGCCTGCAGGCTAATTTGGGTGGGTATACTCTCAGTCACCGTACAGTGTTCACCAGAGATGGAGAAATGAGGCCGGGCCCTGTCATTAACAAGAACTCCCGTGGCTTGGACACCAGAGGGAGCCACCTACCGCCTGCGGGGCATCCTCGGAGCCCCCCGGGGCCTCGCCATCGCACAGCTTTGGGTCTGGGATGCTCATGGGGCCTCGCCAGTCTCGTGGCCTGGGGTCGTTATCTTTCTTCTTAAAGCTGCCATCTGAGAAGCCCAAGCCAGGGAGTGAGAGTGCTTCAGTTCCCGCAGGGTCTGGAACCCCACCCTCATTCCCCCCCGCCCAGCAAGGAAAACCAGGCCAGGCTGCCGTCTGCAGCACAGAGACCAGCAGAGGGCGCTGCTACCAGACCATGACTGACAGCACCGGCGGGGTTCCAGAAGGCTCCGAGAAACCACACCTCAGAGGACGCTCAGAGCTGCCCCTAAGGAACATCCTGGTGGGGCGGAGGCACCTACTCTTGCTGGGGCTGCTCGTGCTGTCGTAGCCCCCGAAGGTCTCGGCCCTGCGGGGCAGGCCCGCAGAGCTGCCTCCGTCCTCCGTCTGGCTGATCGCGCCGCCCAGCCGCCCGCAGATCAGGCTCTGGATGCCCTCGACTGTGGAAGGAGCCGGGAGAAACGGGTTACCCTGCAGAGGGGCTGCATCTGTTTGGCTCCCTGTCCACAGCACAGGCAGAGGCCGGGCTGCCTGTCCCAAGGGCCAACTCAGCGCAGCCAGGGGCTCTGCCTGGACCGATGGCTGCAGGCAGAGTGCAGGGTGACAACAGCCACCTCCTGCGAGTCGCAGGTGCTGGGCCCAGCACCAGCTCACGGGAGCCCTCTCAGCCAGCCCTCTGACTGCGTTTTTCTGGGGGTGTCACTGGAGACACCCGTCCCAAACAGAGGAACCCATCCTGGCCGGTTCAGACCCCCGGCCCGGTGAGGGCACGAGAGAGTGGCTGAGCAGGAGAGAAAGTGCTCTAGGTCTGCAATGCAGGCCTCTGACCATGTCTGAGGACCTCCTGGCTTTAGCAGACATCTGGGGAGGCGGGGGGTCATTCCTGCTGCCATGCCCCGTCCTCAGACAGACATATGTCCTGGGAGTGACGTCATGGCCACCTGGGCTGTGTGCCCAGCCTGGGGGTCCTCTGAGGAGGGGGGCACCTACTTACTCTCAGTCATGGCGGACCTCAGGATCTGCTCCCCCTGCAGGGTCTCGGAGGGGTCCCCGCCACGACAGAGGGCCCTGCAGTGGGCAGTGGTGTCTTCCAGGCCGGCCAGCTCGGCCATCTCTAGGTAGATGTGCTGCTTCTCCGCCAGGCTCCGGGAGATTAGCTGGTCCTGCAGGCTCAGGCGCTCTGCAGAGGCACGGCGGGGTCAGGGGCCCAGCGGGCAACCCCCGCTGAACCTGAGCGAGGTGTTGAACTCCTGCCTGCATGAGGACCGCTGGGGTGCAGCTGAACAGGGGGCTCAGGGCTCGGGGCTCTGCCCCCCCCCCCCCCCCCCCCCCAAGATCACAGCCTCATGCCGCAGCCCTGCCCCGAACCTGCCACAGAGCATCTGGACACAGCTCAGCTGGCGGCCAGCTCCGACAGGGCTGTAGGGGCCCAGGGCTGGCTGACTCAGGAGGGCTCTGTGGGGCTGCGGCCACACAGGGGGCAGGCCTAGGTCCCGGACCCTCACCTTGGAAGTCCCTGAGTCTCCCAGCGCGGGCCTCCAGCGCCTTCCTGTCCTCCTCAGCCTCACTGAAGGGCCCCTCCTCCTCGTCAGGACAGCTGTGGGGACAGGGGACAGGTGGTGGCACTGCCTCCTGGGCTGGCCTCTGCGCGGATGCTGGTTCTGCAGAGCCAGCCACCTCAGCCTGTAAAGGGTGCAAGGGTGGGAGGGAGAGCACCACGGGGCATGGCCGCCAGGTGTCAGTATGCAAGCGGAGGGCGGTCTGAAGTGGCTGCAGTGAGGACCTGCCAGGTGGGGGTGGCTGCAAGCCACCGGGAGAGGCCAGCAGTGCTGCCCAGTGCTCTGTCGGGCAGAGCACGAGCCATGCAGGTGACAGGGCTGGGGAGAAGGGACACAACACCACCACCTGCTCCAGTGGGACTGGCCCCCAAATGCAGGCTCCTGCTTGGGTCTCTCTGGCTTCTCATGCCCTGGCCAGGGACATCTGGGCTTTCCAGCACCCCCCAGGTCGTGCAGTGTCAGAAGGAGCTGGAAGGGGTCTCCTGTCCGTTTCAGAGAAGCAGATGGACGAGGCTCCAAGGTGAGATGAGGGAGAGGAGATGCGAAGCGGCCTCCCGGGGGGAGGGGGACTGAAGGTCACAGCCAAGGGCAGAACAGTGGGCAGAAGAGGCTCGGGCCCCCGGCCCTCACCTCTCGACGGCCCTGCGGATGTGGGCCATCCAGGCGTTCCTGTCCTCTTTGGAGCCGGTGTAGATCTCATACATCTCAGGCCCTTGCAGGGAGGCGCTGATCAGAAACATGGCCTTCTCCTCATTGGCTACTTCTCTCACGATGAGCTTTTGTAAGGAGATGACCGGGGGCTTCGAGTCCTGGACGGGGACAGTGGGGACAGCGTGAGCCTCAGGCGAGGGCAGTAGGGCTGGGAGCTGTGCACCCCGTTTCTCTAATTCTCTATTTAGTTGTTCATTTGATTTATTTGAAGGGCAGAGAGACAGAGCTCCCATCCATGGGTTCGCTCCTCAAATACCTGCAACAATTAAGGCTGGGTTGAGCCAGCTCCAGGAACGTGGCACTCAATCTGAGTCTCCCACGTGGGTGGCAGGGACCCCGGTACTTGAGCCTTCCCTGCTGCCTCCCAGGGCGTGCACTAACAGGAAGCCACACTGGAAGCAGAGGAGCTGGGACTTGGAGCAGACACTCAGATCTGAGATGCAGTGTCTGAAGCCCTGTGCCAAGTGCCCGCCACCTATTCCCAGAATGCTCCCCTCTTGCCAGGCTGGAATCTGGGAGGTTCCGGGAGGCCCAGGAGAACGCAGGGGGTGCCGTTCCAGCCACGCCTGTTGCCCCGCTTTGGCTAACACAGCCCCCGACTCCCCCTCCCGGCCCCTACCTACCACAGAAGCAAAGACGTATTTCTGGTCCTTCTCTTGGAGCAGCAGCAGCACGTCAGTCAGCAGCACGGCGAGCACGTCTGCGGGGATGCACACGAGGGGACGCGTCACAGTCAGCGTGGCCGCCGGCTCCCGCTCCTGCCTGCCCTGCGCGTGCCCTCTGACCTCACCCTCACCCGGCCCCTCCTGGGTTTGCACATTTAGTGCTGGTGAGCGGTGAACGACCAGCCGCCCTCCAACGTCCCCAGAGCGCCTGCAGCTCCAGAGCTCTGAGCGAAGCCCGGGCCTTGGAGCTGTTCTTGCTGTGATGTCCCAACATGAACCCTCCCCGCCAGTGCTCTGTCCTGCCTCCTGCTGTGGCCAGGCCGGCCTGGGCTCAGGCCCTTCCTGCAGCTCGCTGCCTGTCCCCGTGGGAGCGTCTCGCATGGCAGGCTTTCCCACGCAGGGCCCTCAGGTCGCAGGAGGGGCGCTGCCTCTGATGCCCTCTGCAGCAGATTCCCTTCCTCCAGCTGATCCTCTGCCCCGCAGCCTCCCGCTTCCAGGCTTTTCACCTGTTTCCTGCCCCACAGATGAAAGTCCCAGGGGATCTGGGTCTTGCAGGGTCCTCTGTTTCCACCACCCAGTTCAGGGCCTGGCACGCAGAAGGCACTGGATTCCCCCAGGGGGCGCACAAACCCACTCCCATGACAAAGGGACAGGTGCTGCCATCCGGCCACCCCAAGTAGCCTCCTGAACAACCTTTAAGATCTGGTGCCAAGGGCTGGGCTGGGATGTCTTGGGGGGCTCAGAGCACCCCCTGGGCTGGAGACACTGGCAGTCCTCTGTGTCCCCAGGGGGTCCTTCAGCAGGTGGGTCTGTGGGGACTGACCTGTGACTGCAGGGGGATCACAGCTGAGTTTGTGTGAAGCCCTGGGTCTCTGTGTGGGAGGGCTCAGGGCGCCCCTGGGTTGCACCGATTCAGAGGCCAGAGGAAGAGGGCACTGATGCAGCTGCCTCACTTCTGCTGCACTCCTGGCTGTCCAGACTCATCCCGACGTAGCGCACAACCTCCCTCTGACCACAAAGGAGCCAGGCTGCAGGGGCCAGGGTGTCAGCTGGAGCCCACCACTCCAAGACGTCACTCACCATTCCAACATTGTACCTAACACTCTAAGATGCTGCCACTACTCCAAGATCGCGCCACCACTCCAACATGGCTCCACTATTCCAAGATGGCACCACCACTCCAACATGGTACCCAATACTCCAAGATGGTGCCACCTCTTCTCCAACATGATACTCCAAGATGGCTCCAGCACTCCAAGATGGCACCCACTACTCCAACATGGTGCCACTACTCCAAGATGGCGCCCAACACTCCAAGATGGTACCCACCACTCCAACATGGTACCCAATATTCCAAGATAGCTCTACTACTCCAACATGGTGCCTGACACTCCAAGATGGTGCCCACTGCTCCAAAACGGTGCCCCACCGAGGCTGCCTTACCTTTCAGGCGCCCGGACGCCGTCTTCCAGCACAGCATGCCCTCTAGCTGGAGCTGCCGCCGCAGCATATCCTCCTTGCGGAAGGCCAGCCCATTCTTGAGTTTGCTGGAGGACTTGAGATCCATCCTGCCCGCAATCTCCTTGAGGCGCTGGCCCTTCTCACACTCACTCACGGTGGCGTCCACTTGTGAGATGATGTCTCTGATGAGGTTCAGGGCCTGGGTCAGGTCTTCGTGGTCCTCAGTGCCGGCTGACAGACAGACACACACACAGTGTCCATCTCTGTCCCTGCACAGGGGCTCACAGGAATGGACACACTGTGCACACCTGGCGGGGGGGTTGTGTCTCTGAGGGGTGTTCCCTGAGGCTTTCACTCAAGAACCACCTCCCACTTAATCCCTGAGATGTGAGGGACCCTTGCCATCCCCTGCCACTCCCTGGGAAACTCCCCCAGTCCTCAGCTCTTCAGGACCCACCCACCCCCAGCTGTTGTGACCAAGAGCCAGCTCCCCCTGCTCCAGGTCAGGTTGCTCAGGGTCCACAGGAAACGCAGCAGGTGTGGAGAGCATTGCCCTGGCCCTGGAGAACTACTCACTGGGCAGTGTGCCCTTTGCCCTGTGACCTCTGTGGCTCCAGGCATGACCCTGTCTCAAGTCTGGTAAAGTGACACAGAGGTCATCTCTGGGCCTGTCTTTATCCAGGAGTGAGTTTATTTTTTTTCTCCAATGTTTATTTATTTATTTGAAATGCAGAGAGAAAGAGAGATATCTCCCTTCTGTTGGTCCACTCCCCAAATGCCCACAACAGCTAGAGCTGGGCCAGGCTGAAGCCAGAAACTGAGAACCGCATTCAGATCTCCCACATGGGTGGTAGAGACCCAAGTCCTTGATCTACCACCTGCTGCCTCCCAGGTGCTTCTGCATGTTAGCAAGTGGCTGAAACAGGAAGCAGAGCCAGGCCTTGAACTCAGGACTCTGACACGGGAAGCAGGCGTCCCACGGGACTGCTCCAGCCCAGCCTGTGCTGGCAGTAGGGGGCAGCAGAACACATGAGAGACCCTGTCTTTGTGGTGCTCGCTGCCCAAACTTTCTGGTGTCGGAAATCCCACGCTGCACCGGAAGGGGCGGGCACCTCCTACCTTCCGTGTTCTGAAGGATGCGCTCCACCAGCACCGGGTACTTGGTGATGCGCTGGGTCACCAGCAGGATGCACTCCTGCACACCCAGCCGCCGCACGATGGAGAAGTTGCCGATTTTCTGGGAAGGGGAGCACAGAAGCGCAGCAGAGCTTAGCATCCCATCAGCAGCCCAACAACCGGTAACCACGGCTCAGGGCAGCTTCCTCTGTCACCTCACCAGCGGCTTTTCTCTCTGGGTTTTGGAGCGGATGCACACTGGATCCCCGAAAGCAGGGATCGCCTGCTGTACACAGAAAGGTCACCAGTGCCAACGCAGCCTCAGCTTGTGTGCTGACCGGGGCCCCCTTGAAAGCTGCCGTGACCCTGCCCCTAACCCACAGCTGTCCTGGAACCCTGTAGAATCAGCCTGGGCGTGTGCCTTCCAGAGGGCCTCTCTGGGACCCCCCCGTGTGCACCTCTGGCTGAGCACACTGGGCGTGGCCTCTGCAGTCACTTCCTGGGGGGGCAGGAGCAGTGCCCCCCAGCACGACTCACATTCCATGGGCTTGGATGACTCCTGGGAATGTCAGCGATTGATGGCAGAGAGCTGCTGTGGGGCTGTGGGAGTCCGTGGCTGGGCCGAGCCGTCCGTCAGAACCCCCCCGCACACCCCCGCCCCCTGGTACTTCTCGCTCCCGCCACTGGGAGGCCCACTGCAACGCACGCCACGGCTCACTGGGTGAGCTGCAGCCCCCACGGCCTCTCTGGCTTCACATGGCTCCACTGCCGAGTGACGGCAATGGCACTGAGTTAGACACACATGCTTGTTAACGTCAGCTCAGCACAGCCCGATGTCACTTCAGAGCACAGGTACCCCTGGGGCAGAGATGGCAGGACTGATCCAGAACCAGAGGGGTGACTGCTGACAGGAACCCGGCCTTGACCTATGCAAAGGACGTGGGTGGTGGGCCTGGGTCGACCTGGTGATTGTGGATGTGCAATGGTTTTGATTCCAAGCTTTGAGTCCTCCCCCCACCCCCCAACAAGGATCACTCCGCAGGCCCCGGGGGACAGTCAGAGGATGAAGGGGACCAAGGTTTACAGCAGTGCTCCCGACCATGGCCAGAGCTCCCGAGGCAGGGCGGGCGGCCCTGGCGATGATTCTCCTGTCACTCACACGGTCCATGGAGTGATGGTCAGGGGATGCCACGTGAGGGGCCGCCTGGTGCAGCAGGGAGCAGGGCCCTAGACGTGTCTGTTTTGCTTTCCCCCCTGGGGATCCTACAGCAGGTTCACTGATGCGCTCTGCTGGTGGCACAAGGATGACTTATCCCCCGGGCTCCCAGGAGATAGCTTTTATTCAGGAGGCACAGACACAGGGAGACGGAGAGCCCCAACATGCTGGTTCACTCCCCAAATGCCCATGATGACCAGGGCTGACTGGGGGGCGGGGAGGAGAGGGCATCAAGTGGTGGCCAGGAGCTCCACCCAGGCCTCCCACATAGGTGGCAGGGACCCAAGCACTCGAGCCACCATGGCTGCCTCCCCAGGGTGTGCACTGGCAGGGAGCTGGGGCGAGGAGCCGGGGATGGGAGCCCGGCAGTGTGCTCTGGGATGCGGGTATGATCACCAGTGTCTCACCTGCCAGCCAAACGCCCACCCCCTGCAGGAGCTCCGTCTCCTCCCGAGTCTTACGCTAACGGTGCGAAGAGGGTGGGAACTCGGCCTGCCAGTGCTGTCCAGAGGTGGGGCCTCTGGGAAGTGCTGAGATCTGATGGATCATTTGGGCAGGGCCCTGTGACCCAACGCTGGTGGCTCTATCAGGAGGAGGAGAGAGCGGACGGACACGGACACGTGTGCTCCTAAGCCCTTGCCATGTGATGCCCTGTTTGTTTCCTCGGACACGGCCAGGGCGGCTCCTCAACCTCGCGCCTCCAGAACCGTGAGCCAGCAATGAACCTCTTTCCCTTACAGAGCTGGCCTGGCCTCAGGGACTTGGTTAGTGACAAAAGGCTGTGACGCATGTTCTGAATGGGTTTATGGTGAAAAACCAAACTGTGAAAAATCGCTGCAACCCCCCAAGTGCCAAGACGCTGGGGTCCCGCGGGTGGAGCCTACAGCAGGGCAAGCACTGCGCTACAAGGGCGGCTGGCTCGCGCCTCACCTTGATCAAGTTCTGGAACTTCTTGTTCTGCTGCAGCAGCAGCTTATAGTGGCTCACCGCCTCGTTGTGGCCGCTGCAGAACACACCGTACTTCTCTCTCATTTTCTCCCCGTTCTCACCTGAAAACTAACACGACACAGGACGCGGCCGTTACCAAGGCGAGACGAAGCACGCATGGTCTCCTCTGGCCCTGCCCACCCCACAGCTGGCACTGCTGGGTCTGCTGCCAGCTTTGCTTCCCGACACCCCCTGTGTCGGGGCTGTGTTTTAGGACAGGGGGTCGGACCCCAAGGTGGGATGGGGGGAGACTGAGCAGGCTTTCTGCTTAGGGACTGTGCTACGTCACAGATGGTGGAAACCTCCCTGAGATCCAAGAAGAAGGAAATATAGTCCCCTCAGTGTCAGAAACACCAAAGAGCTACAAGCAGTATTCTTGTCACTTCCAACTAACAGGCTGGGAGGTTTAGAGCAAGCAGTCGGAGGTTGGATGAGGGGTATGACCCTCTGTCAATCTTGACCGCTTGGGGTCAACACCCCTGCAGTGGACAGCTCTGGGCCACGAGCACGCTTCTCCAGGTCACAGACACAACAGCACCGACCCACCCAACAACACCACCATCTGACTGGTGTTGGTTCAGGTGTGTATACTATTTAGGTCTCTGTTTTGTGGGCATAGCTGCAAGGGGCCCAGGCCTGTAACCTCTGGGGTGGCAGGTGCTTGGTACATGGAGGCCGCTGTTACTTCATGGGGGGAGGGAAGGGCAGACACGGAGCAGCCCCCTGTGCCCCCATCGCGGCCGTGCCCACCTGCTGCACCAGGAGGTCCCCGATTTTCTGGATGATGTAATTCCTTTCGCTGCCCTCCTCCAGCGCCTCCTGGCGGCGCTCCTTGAGGCGGGCGAGGAAGTGGCTGTGCAGGTGCAGCAGGTCGTCGGCGCACGGGAAGAGGCGGCTGACGGCCTTGCCGCTGAACTGCAGCTCCTCCTGCAGGGCCCTGGAGTACACCTTCAACATGATCTTGAGCGTGCGCACATGGTGCGCCTCCGTCTGCATCAGCTCTGCAGAGACGCGGGCACTTGTGGGTGCTGTCTGCCTGCCGGGCTGCGTGTGCCGGGCTGGCTTCTAGAACTGCCCCTCCCCAGTGTCTGGGTGCCCAGACCTCCTCTGGCCCCAGCTAAAGGAGCAGCAAAGAGAGAGGGCCTGGGACATGAGCTAGGACCTTGGCATCTGAAGGGGTCCGTGCCCGAGGTCTGTGCAGATGATCCTGGCCTGCTGTGGACGGCACTGCTGTGGTCCGCCACATGCGTGTGTCTCAGCCAGATCCAGACGGCACTGGACCGCGTGCTTTTGTCCCCTTCCTCCCAGGATTCCCAACTCCCAAGTGGGAGATGTCAGAAGTGACGGGGTCCTGAGGGTGGAGCCCCGGGTGGGAGCCCTGACCCCAGTGAGATGCAGCCCCCTGGGAACCAGGAGTTGGGCCCCAGCAGGTACGAATCTGCTGGCACCACTCGTGGGCGGCTGACAAGTCACAGTGGACCGAGACAGCCAGCAGCAAGGTAAGGCTGAGTCAGACGCGGGCACACAGCCGGCTGCGTCCGTGTGCACCCAAGGCCTTCTCTGGGGCAGGCAGGGTCGTGGTCCCTGGGGGTCGTGGCCTAGAACCAGACTCCAGGTGGAACTGAGGGGAGGGTGCAGGGCTCCGGCCGTCTTACCGTACAGGACGTCCTGTCTTTTCACCACCTCTCTCTTTTGCTTCCTGGCGTATGCCGAGTCCACGGCAAGGCTCCAGGACTCAGCCTCAAACTCGTGGGTGTCGGATTCGATCTCACTCCTCAGCGAGGCGGTGTAGGGGTCTGCAGGAAGGGCCGGGCTGCTGCTGGCCGGAGCTTGGAGCCTGGAGGGCTCTCTGGGCCACCCCACCACAGTCCCTCCCACGGACACGTGAGCGCGGGCCCCTGGCACTTGCCATTGTGAATGGGGACCATACCTTCTACAAAAACAGACTCGGCGTTGGAGGACGTGAGTGAGACAGAGTCGTCGGCTGCCTGCTTCAGTTTTAAAAACACAGAGTCGGCCTCATCCATCTCTCCTGTGCCTGGTCTAGGGGGAAGTGACAAAAAAATCCCACTTGTTTGAAAAAGGGGAATTAAACACACGCATCCCCATATACACGCACTCACACACATACACATATTACAAAGACCAATCGGAACATGACTGTCAGATTAGACACGATTCTAGAACTTTCCGGATTTCACTGGGAGCCTCAGCTTGGTCAGATTTTTCTGTGTGTATTCATTTACTGTCAAAGGATACATAGTAACTGCATGTATTTCTGAGGTGCAGGGTGACATTTGCATGTTCAAGGGATCATGATCAGAGCAGGGTCATCGGCCGGTCCGTCACCTCAAACCCTGATCATTTCTTGGTGTTGGGCGTGTTCAGAACCCTCTCAACACTGGCCCCCAAGCACCACTGTCCAGTGCTGGGGAACCCATGGCCCACTGCCCCCTGGCTGCTCTCCAGCCTCTCCTCCCCTGCACTGTCTCAGCTCTGACCTCAGGACGTCTTCCACAAGCCCCTACCCCCACGCGAGTCAGGATCACAGGAGCCCGCTGCAGCCCCTGGGATTCCTCCTGCCGGGAGCCAGGTGGACACAGGGGAGTGGGGGCAGGTAGGGCCCCTTCTCACAGGAGAGGGTGACCCGCGCCAGCTCAGTAAAGATCACGGCAAACGCCTTGGGTTTCAGCGTCTCTTTCTTCCTGAGCCTTTGCGGGAATCACCGTAAAGTCCCGTGCAGCCAGGCAAGGCGTGGAGCACAGGCTGAGCACAGCCAGGAGCCCTGTCCCGGGTGGTCCCTGCACGCGTGCACGTATCCCGGGACACATCGCTCTTGAATAAAGAAAAAGCAGGGGGCTTGGGAGCAGGTGTTACTGGGAATCGCACATGGTGGGGTGGAGGCGTTGGCTCTGCTGAATCAAAGTAACCCTAGTTAGGGGTCTCCTTTCAGAAGGGCTGCTGGATGCCGCCCACCCCACCTGAGGACAGGGAGGGGCCCCGGCTTACCCGACTCGAGGCCCCGTTCCAGCTGGGCCCGGTGTTGGCTGGGGACCCCCTCTCTGCGCGACCGTCATGCCGACATTCCTGCCCTCGGACAGGAGGTTGCCCGGAGGGTGCTCCTTCAGCGAGGCTGCGACAGAGGCAAAGACCGAGTTGGTGCTCAGGAAGTGGGCAGGGCAGCGCAGGTCGCCGGCACGGAAGCCCCGCTCCGCCTGGGGCCGCAGCACCGACAGGATCTTGGAGGTCAACAGCTCGTTATCCAAGAACACGTTCTCATTCCACTTCCTGGGGAAAGAGCCGTAGAAAGACAGCTCGGGGCGGCCGGGGAGCGCCCTGCGCCTGTCGCCGCCGCTGCTCTTGGAGTGTGCGTTCCCCATGTTCGCGCTGCGCTCGGGGCTCCGAGACCCGGCACCGCGCCAGGCCCGGCTGCGCGGCTTTTATGCCTCGGTGGGATCCTTCTAGAAAAGAAAGCTGCATCTCCCCTCGCAGTATTGGCTGAGGCAGCGGGGCTGCAGGGCAGGAAATTGGTCCCCCATCGTGACCGTTTGGCGTGGAGACACGGTGTTTTCTCCTTTGGTAAAACAATAAATAAATTAAAAAAGAAAAAACCTGACAGCTCTCTACGCTGCGCTCGGGCTTGGCAGGGGGTGAGGAGCAGCGAGCCGTTTGCCTTGGCTGAGAATAACCACAGACTGCGAGCTGCGCGGCTCTGAGCTCGGTGTGGCTCCTGCCCGCGGTAATGAATCTGCAACGGGATAGCAGCGCGAGGGGGGGCACTTGAGTAGACTTTTACCACCAAGGGGCACGAAGGGCCCTGCCCCTGTTGTACACAGTGGTTGTAAGCCAGGGGAGAGGCTCAGATGTGGGACACGCCTGCCCACTGATGGCCCTTCCCCTCCGAGACCACCAGCCCACCACCTATGTCCAGCCTCACTGGGATGGGCTGCCCCAGGCAAGAACAAGTAATAGCTTTGAAAAGAGTCTGAGGCAGGCATTTGGGGACTAGGTGAAGCCACTGCTTGGGACACTTGTATCCCATCTGCATGCTGCAGTGCCTGACTCCAGCTTCCTGCTAATGAACGCATACCCTGGGAGGCAGCAGTAACCAAGCCCCTGCCGCCCACTTGGGAGGCCTGGACTGTGCTCCACCCCCAAGTCTCCTGAACTTTGCACAGCCAGGTCAAGAGGCCACCAGATTTCACTTCATCCCTTCCCTTTCCGTCTTTCTTCAAATCTATTTATCTGAAAGACGGAGGGAATTTCCATCTGCTGGTTCACTCTCCAAATGGCTGCAACAGCCAGGGCTGGGCCAGCCTGAAACCAAGAGCCCGTAACTCCATCCTGGTCTCACACATGGATGGTAGGGCCCAAGTACTTAGACCATCATGTGTTGCCTCCCAGGGGCATTAGCAGGGAGCTGGATGGGAAGCGGAGCAGCTGGAACTTGAACCAGTGCTCCCACACAGGATGCTGGCATCACAAGCATTGGCTTAAATCGCTGCACTACCACAACCACCCTTCTGAGCAGGTTCTAGTTCAGGTGGAGACTCAGAGAGACTGCAAATTTGCAGTAGGTGGGTGTGGCCCCCAAGTCCATGGGTTGGAAACTGAATTCCTAACTGGTACAGTGCTGGAGGTGGGGCCTCCCTCAAAACAAGTGGTTGGGTCCCTAGGGCTCTGTCCTCACAAATAGACTCAGGTCATTATCACCAGTGTGGGTTAGTTAACCCAAGAGTGGATCTGCTAACCAGTGTGTCTGGCCCTCTTTGCCTTTCTGTCTTCTACCATGGGAAGACACAGTATCAGGTGGGCCCCAGAGGCCTCCCAGCATCCAGAACCATGAACCAAATAAATCTTTTTTCTTTGTAAGTTGCTCAGTCTCTGTATTCTATTATACAGATAGGGACAGTGCATATTAGAGATTTTCTGGCAGAGGAATGATGAAAGCTTGTTAATTATAAGAGATATTAACCATCAGCCATGTGACACCGGATTACACGCATTCTCCGCAGCTGTTCATGGTGAGGGTGGCATTTATGGGACTGTCATTGACCCAGGTACAAAGACAAAAATCACAGACCAAGGGCTCCACGGCCCAGGACAAGCATTTCCTGCTTCTGCTAATGCCCAGGAAATTGTGACCTAAGAGTACTAACATGGGGCAGATCCTGAGAGGCAGGCTTCGCTGAGCATCCTGGTGTGGATGACAGACGGCTCCCGAGAGCCCGAGGCCTGCCCCAAGTCAGATGGATTCCACTTTAATCAAATGGTGCACAGGAGAAAGATGACCGTAAACCCCACCGAAGAATTGCTCATTCCAAAGAACCTTAATAAACCAAGAGCCCATAACTCCATCCTGGTCTTAATAAACCAATAAACTATTGGAAAAGCTAAACCTGTAGTTATATATATATATATATATATATTTAAACTATATATAGGTTTCTAAACTCTTATAAATTTATACATGCACACATACATGTACATATACTATATATGTATGTATGTATTTGAAAAGCAGAGAAAGAGAGAGATATTTATCTTCCATCCACTGGTTTGCTTCCCAAATGCACACTGCAGCTAGAGATGGGGCAGAAGGAAGCCAGGAGCCAGAACCCCACTCAGGTCTCCATGAAGGTGGCAGGGACCCAAATCACTCCCAGGATGTGCATCAGCAGGAAGCCAGATGGGAAGTGGTGGTGGGGCTCGGGCACTTTGATATGGGAGCCACAGGTCCCACACAGTGCCTTCATTTCTCCCCAGCAGGAAGAGACTTGAACCTTCCTCTGATGATACAGCAATGATGAGGTTTTCACGTCTTAGGGTGGACAGTCGCTGACTAAGGCTCTCTGTAAGGGACGCAGCCATGGGAATAACTCCCTCGTCAGTGGCTCAGCCCAGAGACCACGTGCTAAGCACATCTTTTTGTTTGGCATTTTTGATGCTTTGACAGCTGGGGTCTCGAGCGGCGGGGCGGGGTGGGGGGTGGGAGGCTTGAGACACAGCCCTCCCCAGGGTCACTGGTTCTTAGAGAATGTCAAGAACTCATAGACACCTGTCATACACAGAACAGTTGATCCACACCCTCACCACCTGCCGCCTCCATCCAGCTGGCACACTCCAGCCCTCTTTACCCCTCTACCTTCTGCCAAGGGACAACCCAGCGGCAGGGGGGCCCTTGGGAGATGTTGGTGCCATGTTCTGGGACCTCCCAGCCTCCCTCCTTTGTAACAGTCACCCAGTCCTGGTTTCTATTAGAGCAGCAGCAGAGGTTTTCTGGCAGAGGGACCACAGGAAAGCTTGCTGGCAGATGTGAGCCACCTGCTCCGGTACACGATTCCACATATCCCCTGCAGCCACCAGACTGCATCTGGGGATGGCCCTGAGCCCCAGGGCCTGCGGAAATCTTCCACGGGCCAGTCCTCAGCCTGCCTCGTGGTCCTTCCTGCAGAAACCACAATAAAAGCTCTGTCCCACCTCCTCCTCCCTGCTCTGCCTCCTGACCGGTGTGTCCCCACGTAGCCGTGCCTGGCGTGCCCTGCCTCCTGCTTCTAGGCACTGAGCGTTTTCACTTGTGCCTTCATGTCGGTCATTTCCACATCTGCGTGTCTTATCCCTGCTGGCTACAACGAATCTCAGGTGCCCTTAAACCACTGCCTGCCAGGTAGGCAAAGCCTCCGGTCTCTTCCTGCTGTGGCTTTCTTGTGTCTAGAGAGAGGAAGCGCACCACATCACGGAAACTGGGAGGCTGGGGTGGCCACTGTGGCGCAGCAGGTTTAGACGCCACTTGCCAGGCTGACGTCCCATACTGGAGCACTGGTTTGAGTCCAAGCCACTGTGTTTCCAACCCAACTTCCTGCTGATAAGGGAGTGGATGATGACAAGTGCTGGACCAGGATGGAGTTCCTGGCTCCTGGCTTCAGTATGGCCCAGCCCTGGGTGTTGTGACCATTTTGGGAGTGAACCAGCAGATGGAAGATCTCTGTGTCTGTCCCTCCTTGTTATCCTATCTTTCAAATAAATAATCTGTTTTCTAAAGGAAAAAAAAAAAAACACTAGAAGGCTGCAGGAGAGGATGGAAGATGGTTTGGTGCTTTGGAAAACGGTCTGCTGGTTCCTCAAACAGCTGGACCCAGGTAGCACAGGACCCGACACTTCTAATCCTGTGCACCTGCCCAGAAGAAGTGACAATGCTCACCCACACCAATATGTGTGAGTCTTCACAGTGACAGGGTCCACAGTAGCCCAGGGCAGAGACGACCACACACTCATCACCTGGTGTGATCCTGTCCACACACACAACGGGATATCATTCAGCCGTGAAAGAATGAAGTGCAGACACACACCACAAGATGGAAGAACCCTGAAAACACCAGGCTCCATAAAAGAGGTCAGACATGGAACACCACGCGCTGAGTGCCTCCTCCATCTGCAGGCAACATCCAGAGCTGACAAGTCTGCAGACAAGAGACAGACGGATGCTTGCCAGGGGCCTGGGGAGGGCGGTGCTGGTAAGGTAGCGGCTAATGGTTATGGGGGTTTCTTTTTGGGGTCTTGAAATGGACAGCAGTGACTCTGAATATGCGAGGAGGTGCAGAATCATACCCTTAAGTGGGTGAATTGTGTGGTTTGTGTGATTCTCAATAAAGCTGTTACACACGCGCGCGCACACACACACACACACACTTCCCGGGAAGAGAAGGGCTGACCCGGCAGGTGGAGAACGGGATGGGACCTGTCGTTCAACATATGGGACAGGTCAGTCCTGCTGCCCTTGGCCCCGAGCGCAGAGGAACATACCTCTGGCTCCTGCTACTGTGTGTCCCTAAAGCCGACAGCCATGGTGGGCCACTCAAATGGTGTGGTGCTGTGCTCACAAGCTCAGCTACAGGAGCCATTCTGCAGCCTAATTAGCACCGTCTGCCCCCCGCTGAGAGGCACCATCGACCTGGCCGGCTGTGGCCACTGCGCACCGCGCACCGCGGAGCTGCTTGTGTGTGCAGACCAGGAGAAGTGGCAGGGCCGAAAATAAGAAGTGAACAGTGAAAATGGAAAAAATTCTTTGGCCTGAGCAGGGAGGGAGAGAAATACACCAGGCGACAAACGGCAGCCTGTTCTCCTGAGGGCTTC